GTCGATGCAATCAGCTGGTTTTCCTTAGATAGAAAACTTTGAATCAATCTGACTGGATGATCTGGTTGATCTGGCCTGTTTGCTCTCTTAATTAGTCATTCCTTTCACCTGCCGTTTCCCTCCCTCCCTCAATTATTATTTTTTCCTCTCACCTGTTTCCTCTGGTTTAAATTCAGTTCAGCCTGAGCTTTCAGGGCCAGATCATTTCTTGTCTTTCTGTTAGTTATATTCATTGGTTCATGTCCTGGATCCTAGCAGCCAGTGCAAAAAGGGTTTTTGTGTTTGTCTCGTCTCCTGATCGTCCACTGTTCCTCCCCCGCGGAGTCCTCTGGGTTTTTGGCTCAATATGTGGGGGGGGTTCAGTTTTTATCCAGTAAGCCTGGCTCCAGGGAGGAGACCAGTTGAAAGTCCTGCTTAAAGTTCCGGTTCCTACGTTCTGTCTCTGCTACCGTCTTCCACTGAACCTGCTCATCTGCACCTGATCCTGTCTGCTCCTGTGCGTGACCACCTGGTCATGCTTCTGGTCCCAGTCAGACTCTGAACCCTCCTGGGAGCCTGTGGATGCCTGGAAGTCTGGATCCTGCCACCTGTTTCTGTTCCTGTCTGTCCTGGATCCCTGACCAGGATCAGCTTCCAGCATGTCCTCTGGGACCGCAGCACTGGGGACATTCTTGGTCTGGACTGTTAAACCAGGAAAGTGACCAACACAGTTAATCTTCTGTCAGAAGATCGTGGTCACTTACCTGTGTTTCTCCCTCTACAGAGTGCCAGTGATTGGGCGGTGCCCCGCCCCCCCGCCTGCAGTGTCCGCGAGCCACAGCTCTGCTTTTGTTTTATTTAATAAACGTTTGAACTTTCCTACTGACTGTCTCTCCTTGAATACTGGGTCCATCTGTCCTCGGTTCATGACAGATCTGGTGAACTGGAAAGTGACATTAGATGACATGATGTGAATTGGAGCTATAGAAATAAACTGAATAGAATTTAATTAAACAGTAACATGTCATCAATAATCCTTGAGAAAGAATCTGGTTTGTTTTAGAAGAATCTATGTCTGGTCTACAAACACTCCTCACCAGAGAATGGTGCGGCCTTGCAGGTGAAACAGACTGAGTGAAAACTTTTATAGTGAGTAAATAGGATCAATTAATATATGAAATAAGAGAAATCAAAATTTTCCGACCACAAATATTTACACCGCAGAGCTTTGGTTGCTGCTCTGGATGAGATTAAAGTGATCAACCGGATCTCTGGACTGTATAGTGTCAGTCGGGAGCTGAAGCTGCATTATTTTACTTGTTTTGATCCTTCACTGTTTGGGTTTCAGTTCTGATCATTTTGTAAAAGTTTTAAAAAATCAAAAACAATCCACTGGACTTGGTT